TGCTGGTTTGGTGTCTAGCCGAGTCTCTTTGTCGGGGCAGCCAGGCCAATCCCGAGGAAGGAACAGGAGGGCCACAGGGAGCGGGACCGAAAGAAGAAAAAAAGGGGGAAGCGCGGGGAGGGGAGGGGGAGGGAGAGAGTGTGGATGTCAGGCCCGTCGGGCTCGCCGGGGCCGCGCGCACGGGCCCGGCAACCCGCCGGCTCTTGGCGCCGGAGCGCGACCCGCCCACCCCCAGCACCGGAGCAAGGTCCCTTCGCGCCGGTGACACCCGGAAACATGCTGCCACCGGATGGCACACGATGGGCGGCCTCGCCACGTTTCTCCGCCGCCTCGCCGCTCCCCCGGGGGAGGGGGAAGGCCGGCACGGCGTGTGCGCCCGGCACGGCGGTCGCCAAGGCGGGCGCGGCAGCGCGGCCCTCGGGCCCGCCGATCGGCCATCGCCCCCGGGGGCGCACAAACCCCCCCGCCGCCGAGGGGAGCCAAAACCCCCCGCCGCGCGCCGGTCCCCGGTCCATAGGCAGACCGCCGGCCGATGCCAATCCAGCGGCAGCTGTCTGGCCTCATGGCCCGACGGACATGCCGGCGAAGGAGCTGCCGGCCCTCGGCCGGGCGTGACGCGCCGCGTGTTCCGCCGCGCCCATGACCCGGATCACGGGCGGGCCGCTGGCTGCCGGCCGCGTAGCCCTGGCCGCCGATGGCGCCCGGCCATCAGAGGGTCCGTTCGCCTGGGCGATATTTCCGAACCAAGGTTGCACGCCTGGGGGCCCATTCGCGACCACGCCCGCCCGGCACCGCATGAATATCTCCCCGAGCCCTTCTCAAGGGAGGGAGGGCGCGCGTCGCCCCTGGCCTGGACGGCGGGCGACGCGGGCGGGGGAAATAAGCCCCACAGGACGCCCCCCCCCCCCTTCTTGCCCCGCGCCCCAGTGGATAATGTGCCCTTATTTTATTCGCTTGTCACATAAAACACCGCTAGCAAGCCCTGCGCCGGCCGAAAGGGGGCCCAAGCCGGGGGAGCGGGAGGACATGGTCACAGCGCGCGTACATTGGCAGCCGTATGTGTGGGCCCCCCTCTCGGCGAACGAACGGGCCAGCGAGCGAGTGCGGCTGCGGGGCGCACCCTGACCGAGGCACACGCGGCGCTGCACAGCACACGCCTCCCCGGGACGGCGGGGCTGCCCCAGCAGGGTCAGGGGGGACATCCGAGGGCGTGGTCCTGTGCGGGCCGAAGATGCCCGGCCCCGCGCCGGCGACACAGGCGCGTGCGCGCACGCAATGCCCGGTCCCGGGAGGGCACCCACTGAGTCCCCCGCCCCCGGGGCGCAGGCCGAGCAGGACGAAAGCGCGGGAGCAGGGTGGTGTGCCACCGGTGTATACCCTCGCCGGCACCCCCTTCCCTCCCCGCCCCGGTTGGGCGCCTCTTGTACGACGTTTGCACCCCCTACAATGACCGCCCCGCCAGATCCCGGTCCAGGCCCGAAAGGGCCCAGCCCAGGGGCTGGTTCCTTTTCCAGCCAGGGGGCCCAAATGCCATCTCCCCGCCGGGGGTACGTGCGCCCTCCCCTCTCCCAGAACGTCGCGTTGGCCCGGGGGCGCCGCCCGGAAACGGGCACGGGCACGGGCACGGGCACGGGCACGGGCCAGCACGTTTGCCGGCCGCGTCGCCCTCTCTCTTTCTCTCGCCCTCTCTGTCTCTCTCTCTCTCTCTCTCTCTCTCTCTCTCTCTCTCTCTCTCTCTCTCTCTCTC